TTTTTGAAAAATAATTAACAATTATTACGATTTGGTGAATGAGTTGCCATTTAAATGCATTGAAAACTTTTATAGACTACAGACAAAAGTAAATTATATGTAAAACCTAGTGATGATTTACGGCATACAGTATAATACATAGTAAATTATAATCACATAATTATAAATGAAAGCAAAAGTTAATGAAATGCAAACACAAGTGGTTTTCAAAAATGTTGTAAATGTTGCTCACAAGACATGAAAGTGACCCAAAGTTTCAATTGTGTTGGTATTGACCCCCAGTTTCAAGTTTTTGTGGGATTTTTTCCTTTTTATTTTTGCAAAGAAAAATTTTGTTTCACAAAAAAACCTGTTCTTACAGTTAGCCATACAATCCATACATTATATTTTGGTTATAATTATTAAGAATATGTTTCGCAAAGATTACCATCAAATAAATATCTGTTTATCCATTGAATTCAATAAATAACTTTTACTGTAAGAAATATTTCAATTTAGATATATTGGTATTAAGTTTTATTATAAATCCTCCCATAAGTTATTACATAAACAATTCACGTATGAGTTATTAACATTGTTTTCATACATAATATTATGATTTTAATTAACATTTTTGTTTCGTTTGTTTATTAAACTTTTCATTTAAGAAGACTATAATTTAATGAATGAAAAAATAATAATTCATACAATCTATGAATGAGATCTGAAGTGCGGTTATATTTAATATGTTTAAAAAGCATTGAAAATATAATTGTAAAAATAAATTGTATTTTTCTACAGAGTATTAAATAGTTTTATCTCGAGTTGAATCAAAAGACAAATAATAAGTTTTTTCATAATTGAAAAATTCATTTGTTTATACCATATATGAAAATATAACTCTCACTTTCACGAAGACTATGTCATTGATTAAAAAATTTAATTTAAATTTTCAAAATAATATAAAAAATATATCTCAAGTTATCTAATAGTGAATAATTCATAATGACTTTATATATTAATCGGTAATAAGTTATTTCAATTAATGTAAAAATTCATATGATTTATAATAAGTTTGGGCGATAATAATTATGGCTTAAATTATTATCTTATTGTGAATTAAATCTATAACTTATTACAAAACATTTAGCTATGATTAATATTTTTTCAATAAATGACAAATAAATACCTGTACTGTAGTTAAACTCATTTACTTTGAAATATTGTTGTTTTGTTGCCATAAAATTATAAATCAATTTGTTTTGTCCTTCTTTTTTATAAACGCTATAAAACTCTCGAATTATATAATCATTCAAATCGGAAAACAATATATGAATAATAATTTATCACTTTGAAACTTAAGGTAAAACAACCTTGCTGCGATGCGTTTTGGGTCGACTCACTCCGCAGTCGGGTATGATTCGGGTATTCGGTCGGGAACCCGGTTCCGACTACAGTCCAGTTCCCGGACCCGGTGTCGGGTATATGCCTCAGGAATTGGCACTCTTTCCCGACTTCACGATCAAAGAGACGCTCAGATATTTCGGACAATTATATCGAATGTCGCCAAAAGATATCAAAGCGAGGACTAAGTTCTTGATTACACTTTTGCATTTACCGGAGAAGAATAGATTAGTATCACAGCTGTCGGGTATGAATGAAAATCATCTCAATATATATTTGATCTATAAGTTAACAACTGGTTTATAACCAACTCTTCAGGTGGTCAACAACGTCGTGTGTCATTGGCGTCAGCACTGGTACATCACCCGCCGCTACTCATACTGGACGAGCCGACAGTAGGCGTGGATCCGGTGCTCCGGAAAGCAATTTGGGAGCATTTGGACGCCCTCTGCAAAGACGACGGACTGACTGTCATTATAACGACTCACTATATAGAAGAGGCGCGAACCGCAGAAACGGTGGGACTCATGAGATTCGGTCGACTCCTAGTGCAGGACAATCCCGACAATCTTCTCAGACATCACGACTTACCCACTCTGGAGGCCGTATTCCTCAAGTTGTGTCAATTAGATTCAGCGCAAGTGCCAGAGATTACCAACACTGACGCCATGAGATATAACGCTCCGGAAGGCAGTATCACTATATCTACCATTGAAAACGAGAAGAAAAACATTAGAAATTTGAACTCAAATGAAGACAACAAAGATATTAACGAAAACATCGAAACCAGCGGTAAAACAGAGGAAAATAATAATAAACCTAAAGGTGTGTTCACAACAAACCCCCTGATAATCGACACCATAATAACTAACATAACTGTATGTAACGTATGTTTAGGTAATCTATTGGTGCCGTCGATGCCGTCCACATTCAAGGACGTGTCGGCCAACGCCACGCCGTCGAGTCTGACGCCTCGCATGTCGTTCAGCGAGAAGTCCAGCGACGGGCCGTCGGCTCAGGTCAACATACCGTCCGGTAAACGCAAGGCGTTCGACATCCACAGAGTTTACGCCCTATTCGTGAAGAATATCATCCGTTTGAAGCGAAACGTGCCGATCCTCCTCTTCTACTTCTTCCTGCCCTCCATACAGATCGCCCTCTTCTGCATCTGCATAGGACAGGACCCCAAGAATATACCCGTCGCCATATATAACGCCGAAGACCCGCCCGGACTCAGCGCCGAATACCTATCGTTTGTCAATAAGGATATTGTAGTACAGGTGCCCTACCCTTCGCTAGAAGAGGCCCGACAGGCCGTAGTCGATGGCAAGGCGTGGGCGGCCCTACACTTCTCGCACAACTATTCCTATGCCTTAAATCAGAGAAGAGTTTTGGTAATGATTTTTTGGTTTTAGATTTCTGTGTATTTTGGTTATTAATGTGTGCTTTTGTTGTGCGCTAACGATAGGCCGGACTCGCGGACAACGACACGATCGAGTCGTCAAACATAAAGCTCTACTTAGATATGTCTAACCAAGTGATTGGGTTTGTGCTGTTGCGCTCATTCTTCCTGGCTTTCCAGACGTTCGCACAGGACTACCTGTCCCTTCTGGGCTACAATCCGGCGACAGTCACGCTTCCCATAACCATCGAGAAAGTCATTTACGGCAATCTTCACCCGTCGATGACTGAGTTCATGGCTCCGGGAGTTATCATTTTGATCGCCTATTACGCGACCACTGCTCTGACGGCCCTATCGTTGGTGTTGGAGCGGAAGGACGGACTCCTGGAGCGGTCACTCGTGGCGGGCGTTAACTCCATTGAATTCCTGGCCTCACATATAATGACACAGACATTAGTGCTGACAATTCAGGAGATATTTATGTTAATCACTACGTTCTGGATCTTTGGTGTCCCGTCACAGGGCCCTATGATTTGGGTCTTCTCACTCACATTCTTCCAGGGTATGCATCCATAGGCCTATCCATCCATTGCCCAACAGTTGTCATTTTGTTTGAAATTACCTGTTGTTTACCACTTTGATCAAGAAATAACATTTACAAAAATCACTGATAGATAGCCCAAAGCTATTGAAATCCTTCTACAGGAGGAAAATTAAAATTAATTTTTAGTTATTAAATGAGTGCTTAATTTTATAATTCATAGACTGCTTTTAGCTATGATTTTAGAGGACAACCACTTTATAAATCACGATATCATAGAAATATGTATATCCATTACTATTGCCTAACACTTATTGCCTTTTTATTAATACATTTGATTGCATGATTAGTTTGAAATAATATTCTAAAAACAAATTACTAATTAAATGATTGCACTTTAATTTACCACATATTTCTTGACCAGAATTATAAATCGTGTAATCGATAAACAAAATGTAAAATAATTATAACAAATGCATAACTAATTGATACCATTCTGCAGGTGTGGCGGGCGTTATGTTTGGTTTGTTCATATCGTCGCTGTGCGCGGATGAGGTGTCGGCAGCCATGTTAGGCATGGGCTCATTCTTCCCGACCATTATGTTGGGCGGCATTTTCTGGCCGATACAGTCGATGCCCGATTGGATGGCATCGTTCGCCTCGTTTTTGCCCCAAACACTACCCGTAGAGTCCATGCGATTCATTCTGTCCCGGGGTTGGGACGTAACTTATATCGAGGTTGTGTTGGGCTTCGTGGCCACCTGGGGCTGGATTTTGCTGTATTTAGTGGCCGCCGCCTTTATTTTCAAGAAATACACATAATTTTATTATTATTTTCTAAATTAAGTTTTTTTGTTAGTATTTTATATTAATTTTTTGCGTTTAATTATAACTTAATTATTTTGAAGTTTGCATTTACCTACAAATATCGTTGTCCCGAATGTTATGATCAGTTTTTATATAAATGTAATGTTTTGTTATGATATAAGGATTAAGTGAATGTTTTCGTGCCCTTAAAGATGTGTGTATTTAAGCTATTTTTAGTTATAATTAAATTATTATAATTCCTATTGTTTTTTTGTCAATAGTTTTCTGTTTGAAAAAAATAAAATAAAACAAAATGTTATTTTTTAAAATGTAACTTCTTTATAAATGCTTATTAAAACTAATTTATATTATAAACTGATTTATATTTGAAATAATTTACAGATTATATACTGTAATTATTTATTCAGTTATTCATAAATGGAGATATAATTTTAAATATTAATATTTGCATTAAAATGATAAAAATTGGATAAATATCCAGATGTAAAAATTTTCAAGAATATCAATAATGAAATTAATTTAGTTATCAGTAAATTTCAAATCATTAAAAGTTAAGATTGTTTATAAAATTAATGTAAAATTCCTGTAAACTTAAAATCTTGATTATAATAATGTCCAAACATTTAAAACAGAAATTAATCATGTATTGAATTGATTTTATTAATCAATGCACTGTCTATTAGACATTGTCTAATATTGAAATTTAAAGTTTACTTAAAATACTAAAATTAAAATAATGTTAACATTAAGAGTCTTATTAATTTAAGACTAACAATATATGACAGAAATTCAGGTCCTGTGTCCACAAATGTTATCAAGTGAATATTAACTATTAAAACCATGGCGATTTATGTTTAATTTACTTAATATTTAATTATTAAAATTAAAAGTATTAAATTATCATAAAATGTAAACTTATGATTAATTTAATAGAAATGTATTAAATATTAAATTTAATAAAAACAATGACTATATTTAATGAATGCATGGAATCGTATAAATACTTTAATAAATGATTGCATTACTAAACACTAAAACCAATCACAAGAATAATAATTGTAATAACATTTAAATACTTTTATTGAATAGTTTACATTACAATAGGATAATACATTGTACGCACATTAAATATGCACACATTTTTTAATGCTATTTTAGATTTTATAATATAATAATTTATAATCTAAATTGTGCATAACCAAACATGGTTAAGTGACTAACAGCAATTTATGTTTGTTTATACAAATAAATTGTTTATTTATAAAGTAATTCTTATGTAACCAATTTCATTTACATTTAGATTTTAAAATATATTATAACCATGTAATTAATTTAATTAAAAATAGTCATATTCATAATCTGATGAAAAAACACAGAATTAAGGGGTAATTTAAGGGTGCATTTCAGACTATACTTTATCGTAAGTAATATATTGTAATTTTAAGAATTGTATGACTAATTGTAAATTACAATTTGTAATATTATTATATAATGCTTTATTTATAATTAACCATATGCTCATTAAATATATGAAGTGCTATATTACATACAATATTAACTATAGTCTATTGATAACCAATACAGTGTTTTTTCAATTATAATATTGAATTTTACTAACATGGGCAATTAATAAATTAATTAAATTAAAGTTTAATTTTTAAACAGACAAGATTGATCAATTTGTAACATAACATGTGAACACAATAGTACTGAATAAACTTTAATATTTTACTTATTCAATGAACATTATTCATACAGTTTGTTATGATATGCAATAGATATGGCACTGAATAACATTGAATAATGTCTCATAAAAAATATTTTATTCGCCATTCAGTCAATACATATCGTGTATTAATATTAGAGTTTCATTTCATGTGAGTTATAAAAATTCGCACAAATTATTGAAATTGAATCACAGATTGAATTACGGACTCAACTCATATCAATTATATGCTGTAAAACATTTACATGTGATTTGTTATGCACTGTATTTATACAGTAATCATAGATTCGTATGTAATGTGTGTTTATTAATAGTCAGCGTTTAGTCACTTATCTGATTGACTGAACCGGAAATCGAGAAATACATAGCATTTGAAGAGCAAAGCAAACGCTCATTCAGTGCTCAACACTCGCCAAACGGCACACATGTTATCGTATTAGAGGTCCGCAAAGTTTGGGCAAACAATTGGATTACTCCTCAACAAAAACACCACTCATTAGTTCCCAACGCAAACTCTGGTCGTATAGCGAGATATAGGGATGGGTTTGTGCTATTATTGCGGCGCCTGTTGTTGTCCACCTCTGGCCGTCTTCTTGCGTCGGGACGGATGTGACAACGATTTCTGGGTTAACGTGTTGTTGACCTGTTTTGGTTGGGCTCCCGGCTGTTGTCACGCCTGTTGTTGTGTCGAAAAACCTCAACAGTCAGGGGTTATCGTCAACACCAACGTCAACGTGAATGCGGGCCCACCCGTGTCGCCCATGGCTTACCCCCAACCGATGCCCCAATACGTGAATCAACCCCAGTATCCCATCGTTCACCAGCCGATGGCTCAGCAACAGGTGTCGTATCCGATGCCACCGATGATGACAATGTCGCCCAGTGTTCAATACAACGACCAGTCGATGGGTCCGCCACCGCCTCAATACGGAGCCCACGACCACAACCCGTCGGCGCCCGTCTATCCCGAGAAGTACTGATTGATTGTCACGTTTTTGGTGTCTTTTGCTTTTGATTTGCTTTTTTTGTCCATTTCTTTTGCTTTGATTGTATTTTCTGATAATTATATCATTATTTCTATGAAAATAGTTGTGAAAATTGCTTTTAAAAAATTGTTTTATTACTTTTCAATTCTAACATTTAAACAATTGTTTTAATTATAACACATTATCTTAATCTGTATTTCTAATTGTTTTTTATCCCGAAAATAAAATTTAACACATTTTAATGTTTTGCGTTTATTTTTTAATTTCACATTAAAAGTATTAAATAAAAATTAAATATTTATTTAATTTTGTAATTAATTTTTATTTTACGTTTAAATTAACGCTAGTTTTGCGTTAAGTATTTTCTGAATAATACAAGTGTTTATTAAATAAGATTTACAGCAAAACAAAAAGTTTTAAAAACTTTTTATTAATGACCCAAAAATGTGAGGATTTATGTTGAGTATAATTAGTATTTAAGTACAAATCGATAATGTTTTGTGAAAAATGTAAGTTTTGTCCTAAAAAATAGCTGTTTTTTGAATATTTTCTGCGATTCGTCTCTCATTTTGACTAATTTTGTTTGAAAAATGGTTAATAAATTCAGAAATAAATAAAATAAATAAACATTTTTCAAATCATTATCATTAACGAGAGATTAATTATTAATCGAGTTTTCCTTTTATCGTATATTTGCTAAACTTTTGCGAAATGATTTGTTTTAAACAAATGTAATTTACATTTCATATTTAAAATGTAATTGAAATAAACAATAATATATTAAGAAAATTGTTAACAATAGGATAGAATACATCATAAAAATCATTAATATTTATTATATTTGATCCGAAAGTAATAAAAACTAACAAATTTTCCTTAAGTCTCTCTCTCTCTCTCTCTCTCTCTCTCTCGTTAATGATAATGATTTGAAAAATGTTTATTTATTTTATTTATTTCTGAATTTATTAACCATTTTTCAAACAAAATTAGTCAA